GGGAAGGGCCAGGATGGCTTCACTCGCGCTGCCAGGCAGCAGGGACGGCCCCCGCACCCCTGGGACCGGGTGGTTGGAAGGGGAAGGATGTTATCAGTAAGGACACAAGGACAAAACGTCCTCCAGGGTGGACACAGGAAGGGCAAAGCAGTCACGGCCCAGCAGGAGTCACCCTGAACACGCAAACCCCAGAGGAGATCCATCCCCTTTTTCCACACTCGTTTGGCATCACACAAACAGCGCGAATGCTTTTTTTTCCGCCTCGATGCTTCAGTTTACGAGGACAAAAAAGGCATCTGGCCAGCAGCCAGAGCTGATCCATCCCTCTTAACCATCAAAAGGAAAAGCCCAGGAGGAATTCGCAGCCCCATCTCCGCTCTGCGCTTCTCAGCTCCGCATCTCCCCTTCAAACACCCAGCTGGGGGTCAACACGCAGCCGGCGGGGGGAGATATGGGAAGAACGGAGGGACAGCGAGCAAAGCTCTGTTTCAGTTCCTGATTTTTCTTGCCTGGCTTTAAAATAACTCCTTTGCTAGTGTTTTAGCAGGAATTCCCTCACACAGAGCAACCAGGCAGCTCGGAGGCTTTGCTAACAGCGTGAATTAACTGCAGCGACGGCACAGAGAGCCACAGTGCCCTGCGGTGGCCAAGACTGCGGTGGCCTTTGCGGCACTGGGCGACACACAGAGCTCCTGTCACCTGCAGCATCTTTCAGTGAGGGTTTCCTCTCTGCCCACGTTTTCCTGAGCTCTCACCTCTCAGCCTCCTCCACGTTCTGTAAGTTGAAGAGCAGCGAGGGGACGATTTTGTCCATGTGCTGCGGGTCCCAGATGTTGGCTTGGAGTTCGTCGTTCACCGTCTTCCTCACCACCCCTTGCAGGCCTTTAATGCCAGACATCCGGATCCTGGGGAATAAACCGACACTGAAATGTTACATATCTACAGAGCACGCTTAATTTTACGTTTATAAACATATACACATGGGTGAAACTGCAAGAAGTTGGAGAGAAGGCATCGATTTCTGCGCCGCTGGAGAGGTTCCTGTAGGTGATGATCAGCTCCAGGTCTGGGATACCCCAGGGCAATCCTTCTGCCTCGCATCCCCCAGAGATGTGGCCACCCACAGCTCCACGGATGCTAAAGGAAAGGCTCTGAACCAGCTAAAATCATCCTGGCAGCAGCAGACGGCTCCCATCCATCATCTTTTCGGGCAGGCCCCAGGGCAAGCAGCAGCCATTCATCTCCATGGCACGCAGCGTTGATCTGCATCCACAGGGATGCTGGGTATAAAGAAATGTAGGTGCTTTTTGACATCCTTTTCGGGTCCAAAGATCCTGACTCTGCTCTAATCAACAGCAAAGTCATCAATATAAATCTCCCTACGCAGCAGGATTCCCAGGTCTGAAACCAGCCCCTCCACACTGCTAACGCCAGAGACAGACAGCAAGTGCTTATCTGCAGAAATAAACGCATTCAATAACCTGCTCTGAGGTCTCCCTAACACATTCTGCAGATCTAATCAAGGCAATAACCTGAGCTGAGCGAGACACAGCTCTTGAGGAAGGAGCGTTGAGGAGGACCGAGGATCCCAGGAAAAGAGCGTGCTCCTTTTTAATTACAGCAGCTGCCGAATTTCTTCCTCTCTTCCAGTCTCCAATGCAATTTAGTCAGCGCCACCTGCGCCCTGAAGGTCAAGTGGAAATAATGAGCTTTCTGCATTATTTCATTTTGAAGGCCAAAAAAAAAAAAAAGCCCCAAAACTGAGTCTGCAGCGTTAAAAGGAGACGAGTGTGGTGCTTGCAGACAAGTGAGGAGTGATGAACCTCAGGGTTGCAAAGCAACCAGTCCCTGGTACAGCAGCTCTGGGAATGGCACCAACACAATGTGCTGGACAAGCTGGAGATGTGGGCCCAGGGGAACCTCATGAGGTCCAACAAGGCCAAGTGCAGGGTCCTGCACCTGGGTAGGGGGCAATCCCCAGCACAAACCCAGGCTGGAAGATGCTGTGCTGGAAAGCAGCACTGAGGAAA